ACAAAAATTTGTGATTCTTTTTTTTATCTATTTTTTGCTAGCCTTTAGATTCTGTTCTTTCATCAAACCCTTTTCTATCATATTTTTTATAGAGATTTTTTAATTTATATCTATTCTATTTTATCTTCATTATTTTTTTAGTTAGCTAATCTTCTTTCTTTTTTTATTCTATCTATCTTTTTCTATCTATCTATTATTATCTACCTCTATTATCTATTATCTATTCTATCTATCTATCTATCTATCTATCTATCTATCTATCTAAAAATATTATACTATCTATCTATTTTCTATCTATCTATCTATCTATCTATCTATCTATCTATCTATCTTAATCTAATTTTTATCTAATCTATCTATCTATCTATCTTATCTATCTATCTATCTTTTCTATTATCTATTATCTTTATCTATTATCTATTATCTATCTATCTTATCTATCTATCTATCTATCTATTATCTATCTATCTATCTATCTATCTTCTATCTATCTATTCTATCTATCTATCTATCTATCTATTCTATCTATCTATTATCTATCATCTATCTATCTATTTCTATCTATCTATCTATTTATCTATCTATTATCTATCTATCTATCTATCTATCTATTATCTATCTAATCTATCTATCTATCTATCTATCTATCTATCTAATCTATCTATCTATTATCTATCTATCTATCTATCTATCTATCTATCTATCTATTATCTATCTATTATCTATTATCTATCTATCTATCTATCTATCTATCTATCTATCTATCTATCTATCTATATTATCTATCTATCTATCTATCTATCTATTATCTATCTATCTATCTATTATCTATCTATCTTATCTATCTATCTATCTATCTATCTATCTATCTATCTATCTATCTATCTATCTATTCTATCTATCTATCTATTATCTATCTATCTATCTATCTATCTATCTATCTATATCTATTATCTATCTATTATCTATCTATCTATCTATCTATCTATCTATCTATCTATCTATCTATCTATCTATCTATCATATCTATCTATCTATCTATCTTATCTATCTATCTATCTATCTATCTATTATCTATCTTCTATCTATCTATCTTATCTATCTATCTATCTATCTATCTTATCTATCTATTCTATCTATCTATCTATCTATCTATTATCTATCTATCTATCTATCTATCTATCTATTTATTATCTATCTCTATCTATCTATCTATCTATCTTTCTCTATCTATCTATCTATCTTGTCTATCTATATCTATCTCTATCTATATCTATCTATCTATCTATCTATCTATCTATCTATTCTATCTATCTATCTATCTATCTATCTATTATATCTATCTATCTATCTATCTATCTATCTATCTATCTATCTATCTATCTATCTATCTATCTATCTATCTATCTATCTATCTATCTATCTATCTATCTATCTATTATCTATCTATTATCTATCTATCTATCTATCTATCTATCTAGCTATCTATTTATCTATCTATCTATCTATTTTAAATATCTATCTTATTATCTATCTATCTATCTATTATCTATCTATCTATCTATCTATCTATCATCTATCTATTCTATCTTATCTATCTATCTATCTATCTTATCTTTCTCTATCTATCTATCTATCTATCTACTTTCTATCTATCTATCTATCTATCTATCTATCTATCTTTTATCTATCTATCTATCTATCTATCTCTATTTCTATCTATTATCTATTATCTATCTAAATCTATCTATTATCTTTCTATCATTCTATTCTAAACCAAATCTACCCTATCATCATATATGTCAGTGAAAACTCTCAATCTATATCTATCTAGCGGAGTCTATGGACTATATTTTAATTAGCCCCCTATCTATTGGTGTCATGGACCCGGAAATTACCCCCCCAACATCTTTATCTATATCTTGTGTTTGGCACAACCAAATATCTATCTATCTCAGTATTCTATTACCTGTTTCTAACAATGCTATTCTACTATTACTTTATCTAATCAAATCTGATCTATCTATCAATCTATCTATTAATCTTTATTCTTTTCTGCCTATTATTCTGTAATAATTATTTTATTCTATTATTTTTATCCTCCTCCAATCTAAATCTTGGCTGCCCCCCCTGACTCTCCATAATGTATCTAGCAATGCATCAGATCTATCTAAAATATCTATCTCTATATTATCTATTATATTTCTATCAACCTAGCGGGCAGTATCTCTCTATCTATCTATCTATCTATCTTATGTCTATCAATCTATCATTATTGCTCTATCTAACTCTTTCCCTATCTTCTGATAATCTATATCTAAAGCTATATCTTTTATCTAGGGAATATGGGGGTGTAAATCTATCTAGGATCTTTCTATCGCTAGATCTAATTATCTATCTATCCATCAATCTATCTATTACTAATCATTATCTATTATAGTATTAAAATCTAAATTTAAATATCTATCCTATCTATCTATCTATTATCTATCTATCTATCTATCTATCTATCTATCTATTATCTATCTATCTATCTATCTAATCTATCATTATTATCTATTCTATCTATCTATCTATCTATTATCTATCTATCTATTATCTATCATCTATCTATTTCTATTAATCTATCTATCTATCTATCTATCTCATATCTATCTATCTATAATCTATATCTATCTATCTATCTATCAATCTATCTATCTATCTTTTCTATCTATCTATTTTTATCTATCTATCTATCTATCTTCTATCTATCTATCTATCTATCTCTATCTATCTATTTTTATCTATCTATCTATCTATCTAATCTATCTATCTATCTATTATCTATCTATTTTATCTTCTATCTATCTATTTATCTATCTATCTATCTATCTATCTATCTATCTATCTAATCTATTTTATCTATCTATCTATCTATATTTTTTTATATCTATTATCTATCTATCTATCTATCTATCTATCTATCTATCTATCTATCTATCTATCTTATCTATCTATTATCTATCTATCTATCTATTATCTATCTATCTATCTATTTCTATCTATTATCTATCTATCTATCTATCTATCTATCTATCTATCTATCTTTATCTTTTTTATCTATTTATTATCTATATCTATCTATTATTATCTATCTATTCTATCTATCTATTTTATCTATCTATCTATCTATCTTCTATCTATTTATTCTATCTGTATTTCTCTCTTCTGCTTTCAGCAGACCAATAAAACCCCCCAACATATTTTCATGAAAACACAACCCCTTTATCTTTTTTTTTTTTACATTTTTTTAGCCCCCCTTCTTTTCATTTTGTCTATTTTTTTTTTTTTTTTTTTATTTTCTTTTTTTTTTACAACATTCTGTGTCATCTTTTTAAAAAATTTTTCAGTATTTTTTTGTTTTTTTGACTGCAATTTACTTTTTTTCCAATTATTTATTTTGATATTTATTTTATCAATACTTTTTTTCTCCTGCCCTGGTTTCTGTACTATCGCTATTCGACACACCTCCTCCATTTTTATTCTCTAGTTTTTTTTATTTTTTTTTACAATGGTGGTGAATGCAGCAATGCATTTCAGAGGCAGTTTTTGTACATTCTATTTTTAAATTTATTTTATAATTCTGCATCAGTCTTTTTTTTTAAGACCCATATTTTAATTTTTTTTTTTAACCTTTTTTCTATAGAGTTCCCCTTTTTTTTCTTTTTTTTATTTTATTTTTTCTTATTTTTTATTTAGGGAGATGAGGGAGGGACAGAGGAGCTGGACCAGCGCATTTTTTTTTTTTTTTTTCTATTTTTTTTTTCTTTTTTTTTTATTTTTTATTCTTTATTGCAAGAGAGTAAAAAAAAAAAAAAATTTGATTTGTTTTTTTCTTTTATATCTATTTTCGAATCTTTATTACTCTATTATTTTCTATCTTTTCTATCTTCTTTTATTTATTATCTATCTATCTATTATTTATCTTTCTTCTATTATCTATCTATTCTATTTATCTATTTTCTTTTTTTTTTCATCTATCTATCTATCTATTTCTTTCTTTCTATTTATCTTTCTATCTATTTATTATTTTTATCTATCTATCTATCTATTTATTTTTCTATTTATCTATCTTTTTATCTATCTATTATCTATCTTTTTATTTTTCTATCTATCTATCTATCTATCTATCTATTATCTTTCTATCATCTATCTAATCTATTTATTATCTATCTTCTTCTATTTGTTTTATTCTTCTATCTATTATCTATCTATTATTTTTTATCTATCTTTCTTTCTATTTCTATCTATCTATTTATTTATTTTTTTTCTTCTATCTATTATCTTTCTATCTATTATTTTCTATCTTTCTTTTCTATCTATCTATCTATCTTTCTATCTATCTATCTTTCTATTATCTATTTATTTCTTTTATCTATTTATCTATTTTATCTATTTTTTTTATTTTTTCTATTATTTATTATCTTTCTATTATCTATTCTATTTATTTATTATCTTTTCTATTTATCTATTATCTTTCTTTTTTACCAAGCCAAGATAAATAGATTGACAGTAAGATTTATTTTTAAATCGGTTTAGAACCACTTTAGCCACTTTTAGCCACAATAGAGATGTATATTTTCAACTGAACCACTCTTCGATAGATAGATAGATATTAATGGCTCAGTGGTTAGCAGTTCTTTTTGTCTATCTATCTCTATTATCAAGTGGTTAACTCTTCTGTCTTGAAGTGCTGGGACCTTTCTACTGTATCTGCATAGCGTTTGCATGTTCTCCCTGTGCCTGTGTGGTTTCCTTTATTTTTACTCCAGTTTCCTCCCACACTCCAAAGACATGCTGGTAGGTCACTTTTATCCCTGTCTAAATTGCCCCTAAAATGTGTCTGTATATTAGATTTGTAAGCTCCTTGGGGTAGGGACTGCTTTTTTGTAAAGGGTGGTGTACATTGATGGTCCTTTTTTTCATTTTCTGTAATAAATCATCTATTGGTGAAGTACCTTCTTCTGGTTCATAGACATCTGCATGAAGCCTTTAGCACACAGCGCCTCCACATTGGTGGGCTCCACCCTCAGCACGGCGCTGAAATCGTATATGGCCGTCTTCTTCTGTCCCAGCTGCCCGTAACATCTGCCTCTGGCCAGCAGAGAGTCCTTGGCCTCGCCTCCTGTCAGTAAATAAACACGCCTTTTGTTTAGCAAAGCTGACAATACAAACGTCATCATATCCACCCCTGACAATTGACTCGGCAAGGAGCGCCATTGGCCCGGCCGCAGCGCACAGATTTTTAGCTCATTTTTTTTTTTTTTTTGCCAGAACACCTGCAGAGAGCGCTCAGTGGAAGGATCTTTTTTTGTTATTTGACCAACATTTCTATAGTATTCTCATCTCAACATTTCCAGAATTTTTACAATATCAATGTCACTTCTTCATTCTGCAGCCCGGCTCACACTAAAGGGAAAAGGATCAGTCCACCCTCTATTTATCTGGATCTATTGTGGCTCAGTGATTAGCAGTACTGGGAGTCCTTCTATTCATCTGTCTATCTCTATCTGTATCTATTGTGGCTCAGTGATTAGCAGTACTAGGGTCCTTCTATTTATCTGTCTATCTCTATCTGTATCTATTGTGGCTCAGTGATTACAGGACTGCGGTCCTTCTATTCATCTGTCTTTCTGTATCTGTATCTATTGTGGCTCAGTGATTAGAAGTACTGGGTCATTCTATTCATCTGTCTATCTCTATCTGTATCTATTGTGGCTCAGTGGTTAGCAGTACTGAGCCATTCTATTTATCTCTTTCCGTCGGTATCTACTGTGGCTCAGTGGTTAGCAGTGCTGGGGGTCCTTCCCCAAAACCATCTAGTGGCCATAATATGGTATTGTCCTCAGTGGTTAGCTATACTCTAGTTATCTGACTATCTCTATCTGTATCTAGTGTGACTCAGTGGTTAGCAGTACTGAGGTCTTTTTATCTGTATCTATTATGGCTCATTAGTTAATAATACTGGGGTCCTTCTATTTATCTGTCTACTGCTATCTGTCATTATTGTGGCTCAGTGGTTACCAGTACTGGGAAACTGCTATTTATCTACCTGTTTCCATTGTGACCCAGTGGTTAGCAGTACTGGGGCCCTTCTATTTATCTGTATCTATTGTTGCTCAGTGGTTGGCAGTACCGGTGTCCTATTTACCTGTAGATATCTGTCGATTTACCTGTTTATATCTGTATCTGTTGTGGCTCAGTGGTTAGCAGTACCGGTGTCCTATTTACCAGTCTGTATCTCTATCTGTTGTGGCTCAGTGGTTAGCAACATGGGCCCTTCTATTTATTTATTTCTATCTGTATTAACTGTGACTCAGTGGTTAGCAGTACTGGGGCCCTTCTCTTTATCCATCTCTTTCTATCTGTATCTAATGTGGCTCAGTGGTCAGCAATACTAGGGCCCTTCTATATATCTGTATCTAATGTGGCTCAATGGTCAGCAATACTAAGGCCCTTCTATCGATCTGTATCTATTGTAGCTCAGTGGTTCGTAGCACTGGTGTCCTTCTATTTATCTGTCTATATCTGTTGTGGCTCAGTGGTTAGCAGTACTGGGCTCTTCTATTTATTTATATCTGTATCTGTTGTGGCTCAGTGGTTAGCAGCATGGACCCTTCTATTTATTTATTTCTATCTGTATCCACTGTGACTCAGTGGTTAGCAGTACTGGGGCCCTTCTCTTTATCCATCTCTTTTTATCTGTATCTAATGTGGCTCAGTGGTTAGCAATACTAGGGCCCTTCTATGTATCTGTATCTATTGTGGCTCAGTGGTCAGCAATACTAGGGCCCTTCTATGTATCTGTATCTATTGTGGCTCAGTGGTTCGCAGTACTGGTGGCCTTCTATTCATCTGTCTATATCTGTTGTGGCTCAGTGTTTAGCAGTACTGGGCTCTTCTATTTATATATCTCTTTCTATCTGTATCTACTGTGGCTCAGTGGTTAGCAGTACTGGGCTCTTCTAGTTATATATCTCTTTCTGTCTGTATCTACAGTGGCTCAGTGGTTAGCAGTACTGGGGTAATTCTATTTATCTATCTATCGTGGCTCAGTGGTTACCAGTAGGGGGGTCTATCTATCTATTGTGGCTCACTGGTTACCAGTATGGGGGTCTATCTTTAGTTGCTCAGTGGTTACCAGTATGGGGGTCTATCTATCATGGCTCAGTGGTTACCTGTAGGGGGGTCTATCTATCGTGGCTCAGTGGTTACTAGTAGGGGGTCTATCTATCATGGCTCAGTGGTTACCAGTAGGGGGTCTATCTATCTATCTATGCTCACTGGTTAGCAGTACTGGGGTAATTCTATTTATCTATCTATCGTGGCTCAGTGGTTACCAGTAGGGGGGTCTATCTATCGTGGCTCACTGATTACCAGTATGAGGGTCTATCTATTGTGGCTCACTGGTTACCAGTATGGGGGTCTATCTTTCGTTGCTCAGTGGTTACCAGTATGGGGGTCTATCTATCTATCATGGCTCAGTGGTTACCTGTAGGGGGGTCTATCTATCGTGGCTCAGTGGTTACCAGTAGGGGGGTCTATCTATCTATCTATGCTCACTGGTTACCAGTAGGGGGGTCTATCTGTCCAGGTTCAGTGGTTACCAGTATGGGGGTCTATCTATCGTGGCTCAGTGGTTACCAGTATGGGGGTCTATCTATCTATCTGTCTAGGTTCAGTGGTTACCAGTATGGGGGTCTATCTATCTAGGCTTAGTGGTTACCAGTATGGGGGTCTATCTATCTAGGCTCAGTGGTTACCAGTATGGGGGTCTATCTATCTAGGTCAGTGGTTACCAGTATGGGGGTCTATCTGTCTAGGCTCAGTAGTTGGCAGCAGTTAAGCAGACCAATGAGTGGATCTGGCGCTGTCATGGAGGTGACCAATCAGCAGCAGCATTGTACCTGACACTATAATAGCGAAGGATAAGTAGGCCACGCCCTCCTTCAGGTACGCCTCCCCCTGTCTGCTCTGCAGGATGGACATGCCCTTGGTGTGGCAGTGACTCTGCATCAGCCTGCGATCCTCTTCTGTGAACACATTCATGAGGGGCAAAAGGCAAGAAGTGTCACCCAGCTGGATCACCTTCTTGAAGAGCTGAGGAAGAGAGAAGAACAAATCATTATCTGTGCCCAGTATGGGGGGGGTCCCACCATCCCTGTGCTGAATTCCCGGGTCTGTACACCCACTGTGAGGGGGGGGGGGGTGGCCATTATGAGGGGGTTCCCACCATCCCTGTGCTGAGTTCCCGGGTCTGTGCACCCACTGTGCCCATTATGAGGGGTTTCCCACCATCCCTGTGCTGAGTTCCCGGTCTGTGCACCCACTGTGCCCTGAGAGGGGTTCCCACCATCCCTACTGACCTGGGCTGAGCCCATTATGAGGGGTTCCCACTAACCCTGTGCCGAGTTCCTGGGTCTTCAGTCTCGCACAGGTGTACCGGCTCCTCTCCAGGACTGAAATGGCTTACTCTGATTTCACCGCACACTGTGGACTTCTCACAATCACGGAGGCTCAGCATCACACAGCCTCTTTCTGGCCCCTCCCACCAGCTCTGATCTGGCCTCTTGCATAGAGAAGCACAGAGACCCAGACAGAACATCACAGCGGTGTGATAAAAAGGGAAAAGTTTTATTTAAAAATGTCATCAGCATGTGGATGGGGGGAAACGCAGGAACCAGGGAAAGCAAAATGTAAGCAAACTAAACTTCAGGTTTAAAAAGTAACTCCACTATTGTTGAGAAAAAAAAAACAAACAAACCCCCCCCCCCTCTGGAAAATCACTGAGCCAATCACACAGCAGGAAATGACATTTCTGGGGGGCGCTCTGTACACCATCAATGACAGCGCTGCAGATTGAGAAGGAAAAGTTGTTTATAACATTCAATTATAATAGGACTTGTGTAGCAATTAAATGTGATAAATTATTTTTTATTTGCCATTTTTTCCCCGTGAATGTGGAGTTCCCCTTTAAGTCCCCCAGGAAGAAAGTTGTGGATTCTCATTTGTTTGGTATCTGAGCCATAGAAGTACATTGGGTAGTGTGATGCTGCCACCTGCTGCTAGATCTGTGTATTCACATCTCATGGACTTTAACCCCCCCTTCCAGTCCGAACACTTTCACCCCCTTCCAGTCCGAACACTTTCCCCCCTTTCCAGTCCGAACACTTTCCTCTCCCTTCCAGTCCGGACACTTTCACCCCCTTCCAGTCCATACACTTCACCCCCCCTTTCCAGTCCGAACACTTTCCTCTCCCTTCCAGTCCGGACACTTTCCCCCCCTTCCAGTCCGAACACTTTCCTCTCCCTTCCAGTCCGGACACTTTCCCCCCCTTCCAGTCCGACACACTTTCCCCCTTTCCAGTCCGAATACTTTCCCCCCCTTCCAGTCCGAACACTTTCCCCCTTTCCAGTCCGAATACTTTCCCCCCTTCCTGTCCGGACACTTTCACCCCCTTCCAGTCCGGACACTTTCACCCCCTTCCAGTCCGGACACTTTCACCCCCTTCCAGTCCATACACTTTCCCCCCCTTTCCAGTCCGAACACTTTCCTCTCCCTTCCAGTCCGGACACTTTCATCCCCCCTTCCAGTCCCATACACTTTCCCCCCTTCCAGTCCGGAACACTTTCCTCCCCCTTCCAGTCCGGACACTTTCCCCCCTTCCAGTCCGAACACTTTCCTCTCCCTTCCAGTCCGGACACTTTCCCCCCCTTCCAGTCCGAACACTTTCCCCCCTTTCCAGTCCGAATACTTTCCCCCCCTTCCAGTCCGAACACTTTCCCCCCCTTCCAGTCCGAATACTTTCACCCCCTTCCAGTCCGAACACTTTCCCCCCTTTCCAGTCCGAACACTTTCCTCTCCCTTCCAGTCCGGACACTTTCACCCCCTTCCAGTCCGGACGCTTTTTCACCCCCTTCCAGTCCGGACGCTTTCACCCCCTTCCAGTCCGGACGGACGCTTTCACCCCCTTCCAGTCCGGACGCTTTCACCCCCTTCCAGTCCGGACGCTTTCACCCCCTTCCAGTCCGGGCGCTTTCACCCCCTTCCAGTCCGGACGCTTTCACCCCCTTCCAGTCCGGGCGCTTTCACCCCCTTCCAGTCCGGACGCTTTCACCCCCTTCCAGTCCGGACGCTTTCACCCCCTTCCAGTCCGGACGCTTTCACCCCCTTCCAGTCCGGACGCTTTCACCCCCTTCCAGTCCGGACGCATTCACCCCCTTCCAGTCCGGACGCTTTCACCCCCTTCCAGTCCAGACGCTTCACCCCCTTCCAGTCCGGACACTTTCCCCCCCTTCCAGTCCGGACGCTTTCCCCCCCTTCCAGTCCAGACGCTTTCCCATATGAATTTCCAGTCCGGGACACTTTCCCCCCCTTCCAGTCCGGACGCTTTCACCCCCTTCCAGTCCAGACGCTTTCACCCCCTTCCAGTCCGGACACTTTCACCCCCTTCAGTCCGGACACTTTCACCCCCTTCCAGTCCAGACGCTTTCACCCCCTTCCAGTCCGGACACTTTCACCCCCTTCCAGTCCGGACACTTTCACCCCCTTCCAGTCCGGACGCTTTCCCCCCCTTCCAGTCCGGACACTTTCCCCCCCTTCCAGTCCAGGCCAATTTCAGCTTTCAGCGCTATCACACTTTGAATGACAATTGCGCGGTCATGCAACGCTGTACCCATATGAATTTTTTACCATTTTTTTTGAGACAGATAAAACTTTATTTTGGGAGGGCCAAATAAAGACAAACAATAGCAACAGTATGTCCCGGGGACAAGTCGTAATTCCTGGCTACCTCCAGCAGCTGTCAGACAGATATGAGCGGCGTGATGCTGAACATGTTCCCATTGAGTTTTCTGATTTTCTCATTGAGTTGTTTAACTCCTTCCCATCTGGCCTATTGCAATACGATGGCGGTGCGGGAACCCTACTATCCTACGTCCTCCCAGGATCGGGCCACCATGTGACGTCCTCCCAGGATCGGGCCACCATTTGACGTCCTCCCAGGATCCCAGGATCGGGCCACCATGTGACGTCCTCCCAGGATCGGGCCACCATGTGACGTCCTCCCAGGATCGGGCCACCATGTGACGTCCTCCTCCCATGGATCATGGATCGGGCCACCATGTGACGTCCTCCCAGGATCGGGCCATCATGTGACGTCCTCCCTGGATTGGGCCACCATGTGACGTCCTCCCAGGATCGGGCCACCATGTGATGTCCTCCCAGGATCGGGCCACCATGTGACGTCCTCCCAGGATCGGGCCACAATGTGGCGTCCTCCCAGGATTGGGCCACCATGTGACGTCCTCCCAGGATCGGGCCACCATTTGACGTCCTCCCAGGATCGGGCCACCATGTGACGTCCTCCCAGGATCGGGCCACCATGTGACGTCCTCCCAGGATCGGGCCAACATATGACATCCTCCCAGGATCGGCCAACATATGACGTCTTCCCAGGATCGGGCCAACATATGACGTCCTCCCAGGATCGGGCCACCATATGACGTTCTCCCAGGATCGGGCCACCATATGACGTCCTCCCAGGATCGGGCCACCCTATGACGTCCTCCCAGGATCAGGCCACCACATGACGTCCTCCCAGGATCGGGCCACCATATGACGTCCTCCCTGGATCGGGCCACCATATGACATCCTCCCAGGATCGGGCCACCATGTGGCGTCCTCCTAGAATATGACGTCCTCTCTGGATCGGGCTATGCACCGGTGCGATCTGTCTATGGCCGAAGACAAATCACTACACCGGCCCGTTTCCAGTATCATGTGATTGCTGTGACCAATCACAGCCGATCATGTCAGTTGTAAGCAATGAATGGCATGAAAGGAAGCCATTCATTGCTTACAACAGTGCTACGGGCTGCAAAGGCTAGTGCATGTAAATAAAGGCTCTAGGGCAAAACCTTTATTTGCAGTGCGCAGAATGATCAGCAAATGTGCGGTGAATGTGAGCTTGGACAGTTGCAAGCAGCCAGCCTCTGCAATCCCAGAATCAGCAATGACTGGCTGCGTAGGTTTGGCTGCGTTTTCCATACAGCAAATATGTCTGAACGCTGATATTCCCATAGTGGTATACAAAGGTTGGCGGATATTCCTTCATAGGGCACTCTCTGTCTAGTAATGAGCAATGTGACAGCATAATATATGGTAAATGATCGATGATCCAATCACGTTGCGCTTTATAACTCCATTTGTAAAATTCTCACCAAGCCGGGTATGAATACTAAAATACAGAAAGCTGTTCAAGTTGTGTAGGTGCAATGCTGCCACCTGCTGGTCACAGAGCGACTTGCAGCCCCTACCTGGTTCCCGTCGTATATGAAGCCCTTTTTCAGCTGCAGCAGGGCCAGCCTGACCAGAACGGCGGACTTCTGAGAGCTGCTGTTGAGGGCCAAACTGAGCATCTTATGGGCTTCCTCTATGCGGTCCATCTTGTAGAGAGCGTCGGTGCAGAGGATGCGGCACAGGTCATCCGTGGGGTCCAGCATCATCAGGAGCGTGGTCAGCTGGTGGACACCTGAAACGTCACTAAACAAAAAAGTTAAACCCACATGGAAGAAAAATAGATTTGAAATATTCTTCCCAAAATATATTGCCATATGTTTTGAAATGCTACAATTTTGGCCGTATTCAATATATTTCAAAATATATTTCAATAAATTATATATATATATTTAGATATATTGCATGTTGAAATGCGTTTTCTATATATTACAAACTATAAGAAAAATATTTTTTTTTAAATATATGTTTTTTAAATATATTCTTCAGATTTTTTTTCAACATATAAAAAAATAATTTTAACCCCCCTGGCGGTATTCCCGAGCAGGGGCGGACTGACAACTCATGGGGCCCCCGGGCAATAGGAAATCATGGGGCTCCTGTGTCTTCGCCCACACTCAAACCACACCCAAAAAAGCCTATGAAAGGTACTAGGGGCAGCTCATGGGGCCCCCTACTGAACCCGGGCCCTCGGGCGGTACCCAAGTGCCTGAATGGTCAGTCCGCCCCTGTTCCCGAGTGTAGATCGGGGTAAAGTTTCAGCACCACAAGCGGCAACCCCCCCGAGCTACACTCGGGAATACACTGCAGCGTTGCTCCGGGATCTCTTCCTGCACTTACCTTGTCCTGCACTCCCGCGATGTCCCCCCTGCAGTGTCCCCGGCCATGTCCTCCGGCCGATGCTGGCATCCATCTTCCGTTCCCTGCGACGTCGGGACTTACGGGGAACGGAACGGCGGGAAATTAAAAAATGACAAAAAGTGACATTCACTCAATACACTAAAATCACATAGTATTCCATTCCTGTATCAAACCATTTCACATACATTTTGTCCCGAGTGCTTTGTCCGGCGCCCTGCCTGCATTGTTACTGTTCTTTCTGCCTGGAAACTGAGAAACGTCCATGGCGTCCAAAAAGCGTCCCTTTAGGTCAGACGCGGTTTTAGACCGGCTAGAGAACAGCGATAGTAAATCAGAACCACTTGCAGAATTGAGTGATAATGATTCGTGGGGGAAATTCATCATCAGACACTGAAAAAGATTCTGCGACTTTGCTCAGCGATGTCCGAACTTGGTGCTATATTTCACATTTCAGTGTTTTTGGTTTGTTTATATTATTGAATTACATTTATTATTATATTATTTTTTATGATTATTTATTAAATTATAATTTATGATTTTGTGTTTCAAATTTTATCATACCCGGGATGTTTACTAGACTCTTGTTCGGACAGATTTCAGTGAGTTATTCCTAAAAATTACAGGCCTACAATAAAAAAAAACATATTTCCATGCAAAAAAAGTACCGCTTTGAGCACCAAAAATATGAAATAATAATACCGCCAGGGAGGTTAACATATATTTTTACATATATTTTGTAAATGTATTCCAAAAATTTAGATTTGCCTTTTTAAAGACATACAGTATATTTGAAAATGTATTTTAAAAATATTTTTCATATATTTTGTATATGGTTATAACAGTGTCATTTTGTTAAAGGGGTCTTCCAGATTCGAATAAGCCCCCCACTGACCCCCACAACCACCGTTTTTTTTCTGTAAAAAACACTGGTTATAAAAGTGTCATTTTTAAAAAAAAAAAATTTCAGTCCTGCTGCAGCAGATTCTATATATTTTACAGATGTTCCACTTTGCAGGTAGTTTAAGGGGACCCCCCCCCAACACATGATATTTAAAGGAATGTTTCATTTTTGTTTTGTTTTTTTACTATAAGCAATAAAAAATGACTGCCCCTTTTTGGAAAAAAACATTTCACTGATTCATGTCCCTCAGGGCAGTACCCGAGTCCCCATAGCACTTTTATGGCCAATAACTTAAATTTTGTTTTTTCTTTTTTGGGTCAGCGGTGGTGGGGGGCATCGTGATTGACGTTGGATCTACATCGGAGGACATTTTTTTAACTTTTATTTTTAATAAAGGACTTGTTAAAGACTATCTCCTGTCTTTTTTACACTGCATTTTTTTTGTGAATGGATAGCGGTACCATGTACCATGGGGGGGGGGCGGGATCTGGGGGCCCCCTTGTTAAAGGGGTCTTCCAGATTCGAATAAGCCCCCCGCATACCCCCACAACCACCGGCCAGAGTTGTGGGGAAGAGGCCCTTGTCCCCATCAACATGGGGACAAGGTGCTTTTGGGGGGGAGTCCCCCACGCCAAAGCACCCCGCCTGGTTGAAGGCATGTGGCCTGGTATGGTTCAGGAGGGGGAGTGGCGCTTGCTTGTCCCCCCTTTTCCTGACCTGCTGGGCTGCATGCTCGGATAAGGGACCAAATTTTGTTGTGGGGGTTCCCCTCAAAATCCATACCAGACCCAAAGGGCTTGGTATGGTTGGAGGGGGGAACCCACACCGTTTTATAAACAAAATGTAATTGCTGGGCAATGCTGACAATTCTGTTTACATTCAGCTGTCAGCGGGGAACCCCACTGACAGATGAAACATGAATGAATGTCTCACTACTAAAATGACTTCATAATATAACTCATGCCGGATTTCAGTAACTGAGCGGTATCTTACTGCATACTCAAGATGTTCGCGGTCGAACATTCTGTAGGTTCGGATATTCAACCGCGAACTGAACAGGGAGGCGTTTGGCCCATCACTAGTTGCTAGAAAGGTCAGGTAATTTTAGTTTTTTTGGCTCCTCTGTAATCACTGGAACGGCGTGTGAATATTTTGGGCTGTTCTAGGCTTCAGTGGCTGTGGAATGTAGTGGGTTGGAAGAGGCAGATCTAAAGCCTTATTATTGATGTGGCCTGGCCAATCCATGGGAGAGGATACCCAGTAGGTGGCAAGGGAGTGCATAAATAGTCAGGGGTCGGAGGAGAAGGCAGCTGAAGTTCTTACAGGAGCCCATCAAGGTCCCAGTTACTCTAGAGTTGGGTGACCTATCTTTCTGAGAATATCTGAAGCTGATCCAGGGACATCACTGAGTATCTGGTCTGGAGAGTTTGTGGGAGAAATGACTGTCTGATATTGGAATGAGACATCAACGTCTCTAGGAACATTTGTGAGTACAGACCTGAGTCTAGGATCCTAGTGACTGTGTGCTACTACTATCCCTTGTGCATCAGTGCCAGAGCTTGGTTGGATTGGGACATACCTTATGGTGTCTCAGTGCTGCTCATTCTCTTAGCTACTATTAGAGGGACTGTATTAGGAAGCTTTGGCAATGTTACTGGAGTACCCCACAGCTTCCTGCACCCTATCCAAGTTCATCTTACAATAAAGCATCCACAAATGATACCCTTAGATCCAGGTTTCTCAACCAGGGTTCCTCCAGAGGTTGCTAGGGATTCCTTGATCAATGAGCAATTTCTACCTCTCAGATAAGTTCCCACTGACACCATTGACCTTTCTAGCTATCTGTAAGGGGGGTGCTCTTCCCAATGACCGCAATGGTAAGGAGTGTTCTTCTCAATGACCATCACACTAATGTATCATGAGTTGTAGATATAGTCATTTTTTAGCAGAGGTTACCTGAGACCAGAAAGTTAGTTCAAGGCAGGGGTGGACTGACCATTTGGAAACTCGAGCACTGCCCGAGGGCCCGGGGTCAGTAGGGGGCCCCATGAGATACCCCTGGTACCTTTTTCATAGGCTTTTTTAAGTTTGGGCAAGCACACAGAGGCCCCATGATCCCCTATTGCCTGGGGGCCCCATGAGTTGTCAGTCCGCCCCTGGTTCAAGGGTTCCTTTGTGTTGAAAAGGTTGAGAAAGGCTGGTCTAGACTGTTTATTGAGCCAGAAGAGTGACTGTCGTTGTGTGCCAGGCTGCCATTACAGTAGTTTGGGAAGAGAACCTGGGACAAACCTACGGGATCTGTCAAGGGTCAGTGCTACAGAATATTGTAACAATGTATAAATAATTCCATATAAAATGATAGGCAAATTGTTATTTCTGGGAAAGCAGCCTCTTTTAGGAACATTTCCAGTTTTCTTGTGAGGTTGATGGTGATGTTATTACCGCTATGTACTGTAAGCTCAAACACCAAACTTCATGGAGCTTGCATGGAGCTTGGATTCTTGGCTCCAACAGGGAAATGGAGTAGAGGGGGCAAGGCGGAGATGTTGAGTTTAAGCAGGAGGGGAACATTTTTTTATTTTTTTTTTAAAGGCTCAGATGGGAGAGGAAGTAGAGAAAAACTCTTGACCCATGCTCTTGACCCATGCGACCCTGGCAGCCATCTTGGGTCAAGCAGTCTATTTAAGACCCTGACCCTGGGTTTCGGCACGCATTTTGTGAGTGGCTAGGAGAGGGACAGGTTACCCATCTGTCAGGGACAGATCTAGTGGTAGGGAGAGGTTCTGGTGGAGTAGGGTGAGAGCAGGGACTACGTCCAACATCTCAGGAAGCTTCCCTTTGGGTTGGACTAGCCAGGCTGCACTTTCCTTGTGGCAGATGCTGTAGGCAACTCAGAGGCTACATACCGCTGTCTCTACGCTGCAATGTTGTATGTGGTCCCAGTTGGGTGAGCCTCCCTGCAGGGCCCATTTGTAATGTTGAAAATATTTCTACAATACATTATTTTTGGCAAATCAGGATTCTTTGTGCTTACTGCCCACCACAGCATGCTGCATCCAACATACTAATTGCCTCTTAGAAAGATAAAATAGGATAGGAGGGTTGAAATGTTTTCTGGAGTAAATGCTGCTCTAGGCTCCCTCCATTGCTGACCATGTCTAAAGGCATCATGTTCTTCATTGAGGATTGATATGAGTATAATTACCACTAAAAGGACTATATATTGCCCATAATATAACTGTAATGTAGCATATTTATAGAATATTACCATTCCTTGGGTGAGGCTCCATCTTGCTCTCCCATCTTTTTCCTGCTTGGGTACCTAGTCTCAAAGGAGGGCTTATTGTGTAGCATCCTCTCAACTTCTTCCTGTAACACTTTAAAGAGGAGACCTCTTTGGTTCCATGGCACATAGGTTTTAGTTGTAAGGAAAGTTTCATCCAGTTTAAGTTTGCAGGCTGTAATGTAGTCCAGGGCGGTCAGATACGGGCTTCCACTTATCATCCGGACAAGCCCTCTCCCACAAAGAGCCCTGACGCAACTGGATGGATGGGGCGACTCATCCTCTATAATCTTCTTGAAGTCGTTCAAGGCCTGCTGATGTTCATTGATGTGGAAGTGACAAAAGCCTCGTAGAACATATAAGGTGTTCCGATAGGTCTTCTTCTCTGAGTTAATCAGCTGGTTGCAGATATCCAGACAAGTTCGGAAATCTCCAGCTAAAAGTTTACAATCTGCCAGTCGGATGTTCATTTCACGTCTGCTCTTTGGGCAACACTGAATAAAAAACTCCAAAGCTTGCATGATCGGTAGAAGAAAGTCCGTACCAATGTCAGATCTGAGCTCCGTATGAGCACGAACAGCTTCTCGATAGTCCCCAAACTCCATTTCAATACAAGTCTTGGAACGCTCCATAACCCTTGCAACATCAGCGCTGGAAAAGATCTCTGTAAACCTTTTCCTGGCATGGACTGGGCTGATCCTGAAGGCCTCGGCCAAATCTTGTACCATTTCTTTTGCCCTACAACCCAAAGAATAGTAGGCTGCAGCCCGATCTACTAGAAGACAAGATATTTTCTCCTCTTTCATCTTGGTTTCTAAAGACAAGGCCTCGATGGCTCTAGAATACACAGCGATACATTCTTCAAATTTACATTCCTCAAATAAGTAAGCTGCTTGGGTCTTGCATATCTGGAGGTCCCCGGGAGCCAAAGCAGCCAGAAAACTGAAACAATTGTGGAGCGTATCTTTAATATTTCCTTCAGTGTTGGTATTTTCATAAGAGGAAATGTAATCATGGAAAGCACAAATGACTTGAGGCACATATTCTCTTTGTTTTGTGCAGATATATTGCTTGGCCTCATCCTTGTCCTTGGAGAACACTTGAACGTAATCGACAACACCGTTTCTTGAGTCGGTTTCAGACAGAATCCATGCCAGACCTCGAGTCAACAACAGTTTTGAGGCATGCTGGGGGTGGGCGTTCAATAGCAAGTTGCACCTGCTCACCACCTCTTCGTAGCGCCCAGTTTTAAGGAACATACCCACTTTGAAAAAAGAGGATGCAAAATTATTGGGGCAAAGCGTATAAAGGAACACGGCTGCTATCCCAGGGTTGAGTGACACAATGGCCATGCCGTCACACTTTATTTTTGGTATTTCGGCATCCCCTAAACACCAGTTCTCCAGAGTATTGATAATTTCCCGGTACTGCCCATCATCCAGGGATTTGACTCTTTGAAGTGCAATGGGTGCATTGCCGCTAAATGCTGCCATGAAGAACGCAGCGGCCAAAGAGAATTCTTCTTGGGAGAGATGTTGGTTTGCCTGTTGACATAATTGGCTGGGTACGTCCTGGCCAGACATCTTCGGGGGATGGTCAGCTAAGCAGAAGGATAGAAAAAGGTCTTCATTCTTCGCTTATATGGAGTCAGACCTGTAAAATAAAAAGGGAAAATACATCACAATATATAACAATAGAGGAACATTGCTAAGGGATATCGAATATTTTTTAAATTTCAGTGGACGGAATTTGCTGTCTTTGAAACAATCAATGTATTTTAGAAGTGTGGCATCGCTATTCTTCAATTATAAGTAGGAGTGATAGCACAAACCTAAAAAGGGAACTACAGAGGTTGTTGGTTAGCTTTATCTATTGATTGTTGACAGTTTTAAAATTTTTTTTTTTTTTTTTTTGTGTTTTTATTCACTTAAAATCTTAAAAAAAACCCAAAAAGTACTTTGTGTATACATGACACTGTGGACGTGGTATATTTGGACAGAGGGGTGGCTATGGACGTGGTATACTTGGACAGAGGGGTGGCTGTGGATATGGTATACTTGGACAGAAGGGTGGTTGTGGAGGTGGTATACTTGGACAGAGGGGTGGCTGTGGACGTGGTATACTTGGACAGAGGGGTGGCTGTGGACGTGGTATACTTGGACAGAGGGGTGGCTGTGGATGTGGTATACTTGGACAGAGGGGTGGCTGTGGACACGGTATACTTGGACAGAGGGGTGGCTGTGGATGTATATGTGGTATACTGGGACAGAGGGGTGGCGGTGGACGTGGTATACTTGGACAGAGGGGTGGCAGTGGACGTGGTATACTGGGACAGAGGGGTGGCTGTGGATGTATATGTGGTATACTGGGACAGAGGGGTGGCGGTGGACGTGGTATACTTGGACAGAGGGGTGGCAGTGGACATGGTATACTTGGACAGAGGGGTGGCGGTGGACGTGGTATACTTGGACATAGGGGTGGCAGTGGATGTGGTATACTTGGACAGAGGGGTGGTAGTGGACGTGGTATACTTGGACAGAGGGGTGGCGGTAGACGTGGTATACTTGGACAGAGGGGGTGGCGGTAGACGTGGTATACTTGGACAGAGGGGTGGCGGTAGACGTGGTATACTTGGACAGAGGGGTGGCGGTAGACGTGGTATACTTGGACAGAGGGGTGGCGGTAGACGTGGTATACTTGGACAGAGGGGTGGCGGTAGACGTGGTATACTTGGACAGAGGGGTGGCGGTAGACGTGGTATACTTGGACAGAGGGGTGGCTGTGGATGTGGCATAGTTGGACAGAGAGGTGGCTGTGGATGTGGTATATTTGGACAGAGGGGTGGCAGTGGATGTGGTATACTTGGACAGAGGGGTGTCGGTGGACGTGGTATACTTGGACAGAGGGGTGGCGGTGGACGTGGTATACTGGGACAGAGGGGGTGGCGGTGGACGTGGTATACTGGGACAGAGGGGTGGCGGTGGGCGTGGTATATTTGGATAGAGGGGTGGCGATGGACATGGTATACTCGGACAGAGGGGTGGGGTGGACGTGGTATTCTTGGACAGAGGGGTGGTGGTGGACGTGGTATACTTGGATAGAGGGGTGGCGGTAGACATGGTATACTTGGACAGAGGGGTGGCGGTAGACATGGTATACTTGGACAGAGGGGTGGCGGTGGGCTTGGTATACTTGGACAGAGGGGTGGCGGTGGACGTGGCATACTTGGATTTTGCAAAAGCATTTGACACAGTTCCCCACACACGGCTAATATGTAAGGTAAAGTCTACAGGCTGGAAAAATCTGTATGTAAATGGATGGAACACTGGCTAAAAGATGGTATTCAGAGAGTAGTGGTTAATGATTCATACTCTGCGTGGTCTCCGGGTGTCAGTGGTGTACCCCAAGGTTCAGTGTTATTAGTGGGGTACACAGAGTTTATTTATCACAAGGCAAACAAGGCATTAGCCTAGGGTGGCATTTTTCAGGGGGGCAGCACCACCACCCAAAAGAAGGGACAGAAGAAGAGACACACACAGCACGGGGAGCAGCTGGGATCCAAGAGAGGCTGCGGACTGCTTGACAGTGTATGCAGAGCCCAACTCTCGTTCCCAGGGATGTCTGGAGCTGCAAGTGTCTCTCTTTCTAGCGCTGCGGGGGAGGGGGTTTGCTGGTATATGGCGGGAGGTGGTAGTGGAAGCCTTTCTTGAAGGGGAGGGGGGCAGGGGTGTTGTTGGTCAATGTCAGGCTCTCTCTGCGGGGAAGGGGGGGATTTTTGTGTTGCCTAGGTACAGCATAAATCCTAAATACGCCACAGGGTGTACCCCAAGGTTCAGTGTTATTAGTGGGGTACCCCAAGGTTCAGTGTTGGGATGTTACTTTTTTAATATATTTATAAACGATATAGAGTCGGGGATTATACAGTTGCAAGAAAAAGTATGTGAACCCCTTGGGATTACGTGGAGTTTTGCATGAATTGGGCATAAAATGTGCTCTGAACGTCATCTAAGTCACAACAATAGAAGAACACAGTCTGCTGAACATAATACTACACAAACATTAGATGTTGCCATGGTTTAATTGCACATAACATGTAAACATTCACAGTGCAGGGAGGAAAAAGTATGTGAAGCCCTAGCTTAATGACTTCTCCCAGAGCTAATTGGAGCCAGGAGTGAGCCAACCTTGACTCCAATCAGTGTGATGATATTGGATGTGTTGCTGACAGCTGTCCTGCCCTTAAAAAACACACACACCTGTTTTGGGTTTACTGGTTTCAAGAAGCACTGTCTGATGTGAACCGTGCCTCGCAGAAAAGAGCTCTCAGAAGACCTACGATCAAGAATTGTTGACTTGCATGAAGCTGGAAAGGGTTACAAAAGTATCTCCTTGAGCCTTGATGTTCATGTGTCCACGGTAAGACAGACTGTCTACAAATGGAGAAAGTTTAGCACTGCTGCTACTCTCCCTAGGCGTGGTCGTCCTGTAAAAATGACTGCAAGAGCACAGCGCAGAATGCTGCATGAGGTAAAGAAGAATCCCAGAGTGTCAGCTAAAGACCTACAGAAATCTCTGGCACATGCTAACATTTTTGTTGACACATCTACAATAAGGAAAACAATAAACAAGAATGGAGTACATGGGAGGACACCACGGAGGAAGCCATTGCTGTCCAAAAAGAATATTGCAGCACGTTTGAAGTTTGCAAAAGAGCACCTGGATGTTCCACAGCACTACTGGCAAAATATACTGTGGGACAGATGAAACCAAGATTGAGTTGTTTGGGAAGAACACACAACACTATGTGTGGAGAAAAAAAGGCACAGCACACCAACATCAAAACCTCATCCCCACTGTGAAACATGGCGGAGGGAGCATCATGGTTTGGGGCTGCTTTGCTGCCTCAGGGCCTGGACGGATTGTTGTCATTGATGGGAAAATGAATTCCAGAGTTTATCAAGACATTTTGCAGGAAAACGTACGACCATCTGTCCGCCAACTGAAGCTCCGCAGAGGATGGGTGATGCAACAGGACAATGACCCAAAGCATACAAGTAATTCAACAAAACAATGGCTGCAACAGCACAGAATACGCCTTCTGGAGTGGCCCAGTCAGAGTCCTGACCTCAACCCCATTGAAATGCTGTGGCATGACCTTAAGAGAGCGATTCACACCAGACATCCCAACAATATTGCTACACTGAAACAGTTTTGTGAAGAGGAGTGGTCCAAAATTACTCCAGATCGTTGTGCAGGTCTGATCTGCAATTACAGGAAACGTTTTGGTTGAGGTTATTGCTGCCAAAGGAGGGTCAACCAGTTATTAAGTCCAAAGGTTCACATACTTTTTCCTCCCTGCACTGTGAATGTTTACATGTTATGTGCAATTAAACCAGGCAATGGCAACATCTAATGTTTGTGTAGTATTATGTTTCAGCAGACTGTGTTCTTCTATTGTTGTGACTTAGATGACGTTCAGAGCACATTTTATGCCCAATTCATGCAAAACTCCACGTAATCCCAAGGGGTTCACATACTTTTTCTTGCAACTGTATAATACATAAGGGGGGATATGATCTCCATGTATAATACATAAGGGGGATATGATCTCCATGTATAATACATAAGGGGGGATATGATCTTCATGTATAATACATAAGGGGGGATATGATCACCATGTATAATACATAAGGGGGGATATGATCTCCATGTATAATACATAAGGGGGGATATGATCTCCATGTATAATACATAAGGGGGGATATGATCTCCATGTATAATACATAAGGGGGGATATGATCTCCATGTATAATACATAAGGGGGGATATGATCTCCATGTATAATACATAAGGGGGGATATGATCTCCATGTATAATACATAAGGGGGGATATGATCTCCATGTATAATACATAAGGGGGGATATGATCTCCACATAAGGGGGTATATAATACATAAGGGGGATATGATCTCCATGTATAATACATAAGGGGGGATATGATCTCCATGTATAATACATAAGGGGGGGTATGATCTCCATGTATAATACATAAGGGGGGGTATGATCTCCATGTATAATACATAAGGGGGGGATATGATCTCCATGTATAATACATAAGGGGGATATGATCTCCATGTATAATACATAAGGGGGGATATTATCTCCATGTATAATACATAAGGGGGGATATGATCTCCATGTATACCATGTATAATACATAAGGGGGGGATATGATCTCCATGTATAATACATAAGGGGGGGGGGGGTATGATCACCATGTATAATACATAAGGGGGGGATATGACCTCCATGTATAATACATAAGGGGGGATCTCCATGATCTCCATGTATAATACATAAGGGGGGATATGATCTCCATGTATAATACATAAGGGGGGGTATGATCTCCATGTATAATACATAAGGGGGATATGATCTCCATGTATAATACATAAGGGGGATATTATCTCCATGAGGGGGGAAATGATCTCCATGTATAATACATAAGGGGGGATATGATCTCCATGTATATAATACATAAGGGGGGTATGATCTCCATGTATAATACATAAGGGGGGATATGATCTCCATGTATAATACATAAGGGGGGGGGATATGATCACCATGTATAATACATAAGGGGGGGATATGACCTACCATGTATAATACATAAGGGGGGATATGATCTCCATGTATAATACATAAGGGGGGATATGATCTCCATGTATAATACATAAGGGGGGATATGATCTCCATGTATAATACATAAGGGGGGGGGATATGATCTCCATGTATAATACATAAGGGGGGGATATGATCTCCATGTATAATACATAAGGGGGGATATGATCTCCATGTATAATACATAAGGGGGGATATGATCTCCATGTATAATACATAAGGGGGGATATGATCTCCATGTATAATACATAAGGGGGGATATGATCTCCATGTATAATACATAAGGGGGGATATGATCTCCATGTATAATACATAAGGGGGGATATGATCTCCATGTATAATACATAAGGGGGGGATATGATCTCCATGTATAATACATAAGGGGGGATATGATCTCCATGTATAATACATAAGGGGGGGATATGATCTCCATGTATAATACATAAGGGGGGATATGATCTCCATGTATAATACATAAGGGGGGATATGATCTCATGTATAATACATAAGGGGGGATATGATCTCCATGTATAATACATAAGGGGGGATATGATCTCCATGTATAATACATAAGGGGGGATATGATCTCCATGGGGGGGATATGATCTCCATGTATAATACATAAGGGGGATATGATCTCCATGTATAATAATACATAAGGGGGGGGGTATGATCTCCATGTATAATACATAAGGGGGGGTATGTGACCGGGGACTAAGGTCAGCGGGACATTTGAACTCTAAAGCTGGCAATTCGATTGAGTGAACATCTGAAAATTCAGGGATTTTTTTTTTCAAAATCGCAAATCTAAGAAAGACATAAAGAATGATCATGTCTATCATCTGCAAGGACGGGATCAAAATGTATTCAACTGAAAAATCCAATGCTTTTGAAGAACATCACATAGTGATTGGATCATTGAAGGCGTTCTGTGAATGGGGCAGTGCCGAGTGAGCGCCATGTTCACTGTGCAGAAGACATCGGCGAACACTGTGGTAGCAGCAGCTACTACGCTGTCATGCAGGATCAGGGGCGGACTGACCATTTGAGCAATCGGGCACTGCCCGAGGGAACGGGGTCAGTAAGGGGTCCCATGAAATGCCCCTGGTACTTTTTATAGGCTTTTTGGGTGTGCTTTGAGTGTAGGCAAGGACACAGGAGCCCCATGATCCCCTATTGCTGGGGGCCCCATGAGTTGTCAGTCCGCCCCTGTACAGGATGCAGCTAGTCAAGCACGATCTGTACTTGATTGGCTGCATTGGAGCGCAGGGGAGACATTGGGGGGGGGGCCTAATAACCCCCCAATGTCTCCATAAAGAGGACCTGTCACCTGCCAATGCTATCACATAGGGGGCTGCCTTGTGATATCAATAAAGTTATAAAAAAAAAAATAATAAATAATTATAAAAAAAATGTAAAAAAGAGAATTGTATTAAATAAATAAAAATAATTT